CGGGCGTTTCTACCCAACGCCGCCGCAGTGCGTGGACATCCCGGCGGACCTGCGGCTGTGCCACAACGTGGGCTACAACAAGATGGTGCTGCCCAACCTGCTGGAGCACGAGACCATGGCCGAGGTGAAGCAGCAGGCCAGCAGCTGGGTGCCCCTGCTCAACAAAAACTGCCACATCGGCACCCAGGTCTTCCTCTGCTCGCTCTTCGCGCCCGTCTGCCTCGACCGGCCCATCTACCCGTGCCGCTGGCTCTGCGAGGCCGTGCGCGACTCGTGCGAGCCCGTCATGCAGTTCTTCGGCTTCTACTGGCCCGAGATGCTCAAGTGTGACAAGTTCCCCGAGGGGGACGTCTGCATCGCCATGACCCCGCCCAATGCCACCGAAGCCTCCAAGCCGCAAGGTAAGGCCGCCCCCTCCCACGCCCACGAGTCCCTCAGCCCGGGCGTGTGCGGACCCCGGGCTGGCTAGGACTGTGGTGGCGCTCCCGGAGAGCCCCTGCCGCCCGCCACCGCACCCCGGAGTCGGACCTGCAGCCACAGGTTGCTTTCTGCCGCGCGGAAGGAGGCTGAAGTTTCCAGGCTGCCCGAGGCGTTGCATAGCTCTTGTCCTGTGCACTGCCGGGCTGGCCCGGGAGAAGCGGCTCCGCGCCCGGCCCCGCTGAGGGTTCTTGGGATCCAGCCTCGTTTGTTCCATACCTGAAACAAAGCCTCACGCTTAAATAAAATGAGAGCTTCCCTTTCCCCTGGAAGGCCACTGTGTCCCCATAGAAATAACTAACATCCGAGTCCCGTTGCCGACAGCAGAACCCGAAGTGTAGAAAATTCAGAAGGGCCGAGAGCGTGCCGGGTGCAGCTTTGTTTGTTTTCATAGGTTGGAGGAAAAAACCCTCTTTCCTTAGCTAGTCCCTGAGCCAAGTAGCCCCAGGACTGGTGCAGTGGCTGGGAAAAGTTCTGTTTTTGCACTCCTTTTAGGTAACAGCTCAGCACTGGGCAGGGGTAGAGGTTGGAAAGTCTCTTCTCAGTCCTCGCACACCCCCTTCTCATTTACACAAATCCGCAGGTAATTAGAAAGATAAAAATGTAATTAGCTCATTGTCCTCCTCCTAGGGGAGTGCGCTCTGCAAATTGCAGACTTCCCTAACAGCTGGGGGATGGGCCTGAGATTCCTTCCAGGACCCCCTCCAGTTTAAAGGGCAGTTTCTGAGAGGGAAGAAGAAAAATCCCAAGGTGGCAAAACAAAACAAAACAAAACAAAATATCCCATCCGGGCGGCTTGACTTTTATAGGCGTGAACGCGACCCTGAATTCCATGGAAGCAGAGTTTGGGCTCCAAGACATCTAGTGATCTGGAATCAGGGAGCCACACCCCAATATGCTTAGCATGGGGTGGCATCCTGGGGCTTTTGAGGAGGGGGATTTGGGATGGTGAGGACGGCTGCTTGCCCACCAGACTCAATCTTGAGGTGCTGGTGTCTTTAATATCTGTTATGCTCAGCCGAGGGACATGCAGTCACCCGGCGCCCCTGGAGTGAGCATGGGGTAGGTGTGGGGAGAGCACACCCCGAATTTGGGATGCTCCTTCTCCAGGGAGAGAGGCACTGGATGGTGTGGGCGCTGCCCTCAAGGCTGGCTTTGGGGAGCGGCAGCTCCTGAGAGCAGAGCTGAGCAGCTGCTGGAGCAAAGGAAGCTCTTAGTGAGAACCACCCCTACGGCCCCCAGGACCTGCCTTCTCTCCTTCCTTGGCCAGCGGGGGATCAGCCCACTCCTGCCCAAGTGGCGGCTGTGGCCTGTCCCCGGAGGCCACAATTGGTGGACATGGAGACCTTTTGGGGAATAGCTTTCAGGAGGGGGCAAGGGGGGCCTTGGATGTGTGCCTACTCTAATGGAAAACCACAAAACCAACCCCCAAAGGTCGCAGTGAGTGGGGAGTGGGGAGCCCCTCAGCTACTGCATTCTAGATGCCCTTTTCCCCGTGGCTGCCGTGCGGCTCACCTGCTCCTCCTTGGTCTGGGCCCTGAGGCACTGAAGTCCCAACAGGACTGAGGGGACTCAGGCAGAGGCCCCTGCAGGGTGCAGAGCCCTTAGCTGCCCATTGGGTCAGGGGATCTTAGGGTGTCTGGAGGAGGACGGCGAGTGTGCGGAGGGGACGAGACATGGCTACTGTACTCTGACCGCCTTGACCTTGCTGCTTACGTGGTCAGGATTATTTTCATGGAACAGTGGCCACCTCTCTCCTTCCTCATCCCAGGAGTGCCCTGGGAGACCTCTCCCAAGACCAGTTCTATGCCAAACAAAGGCAGAGAAGTTTCGAGAAGACCGTCAGAGTGGGACCCGGGACTGTTCTGGTGCGAGGCTTCCCCAGGCTGGCTGCTGCAGCCCCGTGTGTGAGGTGTGAGAAGCCCCTTGTGGGCCACCTGGCCATGGACTGTCAGCTGCGTGTGGGATGGGAGGGCAGAGTGCACGCGTGCGTGCATGTGTGTGCTTGTGCACGTGTGCCAGGTGGGTCGAGACAGATCACACTGCTGGTCCTCCTCACCGACGGCTATGGCTCCGGGAAAGGAGTGGTGGTTTTGGATGAGAGTAAGCGCACATACACGACTGGATGAGAGTAAGCGCCCATCCACGACGCTTTCATTCTTTATTGATTTTATTCTTTAAGATTAAAGTCAAATTTCAACGTGATGTATTTGCATACTCTAGGCTGCTTTCTGCTCACACACGTGGGTGCATAGTTTAAGGGGCACGGGCCAGCCTGTGGGGCCCTGTGTTTTTAAGAATAAACTTGATAATGAGAAATGAATCAAAACACATTTTCCCCCAGAAGGCGATGGCCAAGTCACATCTGAGGCAACTATTCTTTTTCTAGGAAAGTTGTTTCTCAACCGTACGCTTATCATGAGACCTGCAAATGCTCAGGGCGATGCACCGTCGGCCTCCCCACCAGGGTCTGCTGGTTCGGGCTGTGTGGCGAGCGCTGCGTTTCAGTTCGCTGTTGCTCTGGTGTGCTGTGTGCTCGATCAGTCTGGCCCTTCTGGCCCCACATTGCAGAGGCCTCCAGGGTCTTTGCGGAGCCAATCAGGGGATATCTGCTGTGTGTGTGAAAGAGAGAGAGAGAGAGACAGACAGACAGACAGACAGACAGACAGGGCTCGGGTTTGTGCATGCTCACCGATTTTTAAAAATCATTTAATCCTGATGCGGAGTTGGGCTTTCTCCTCCATCCCCTCTTACATAGTCACAAAACCTTTGGAAGTATTGTTCACTTGCTTAAAGCATTATTTTCAGTACACCTTAGAATAGCCACTGCCTTCAACCTCCCAGAGGGGTGACTGGGTGGCTTTCCCTGCTGGGACCTCCTGCAGCCCCAGGACGGACGCATGGAGGAGGAGCGGATTCATATTGCATTGCACACTCCGCCTCCTTTCTCGGGTCCAAGCTGCTCTAGAGTAAGAAAAGTGGAGACAGGAGAGCCATGCTGAGTACACAGAGCGCCCCACTCAGCTCGCGCCTCCCAGGGGCGTCCCAGCGTGGTGGAGGGGACTCGGGCGGATGGCCCTGCAGGGTGCAGAGTCCTCAGCTGCTGTGTGGATCAGAGGGCCTCCGGGTGTTCAGAGTGTGTGTAGGGGGCGAGGCATGGCCTCTGTGTTCTGACTGCCCTGACCTTGCTACTTGGGCAGGGTTGTATTTACAGAATGTTGCAACATGATAAACTTCTACCTTTATTTATTTTTAAAAAATAACCCAAACAAGACAACTCCAAGGCACAGTTTACCCTCCTGCTGTAGGTGACACGGTACTTTGCATATTATAGGACTTTCTGTCTCTTTTTTTCTCCTCATGAAAGCAAAAACCGTAACACAAAGTTCTGGGTAAGTTTTTTTTCTTTTGTCAGAAACGCTGTTTCCACCGTCTAGGTGCAAAGCACGTTTCTAGCCTCTGGGCCCAGGGCAGGCTCATCACCTGCTTGGAGTGTGGTTCCTCCTGCACCGAGAACCTGGGAGTACTTGCTCCTGGGTGCAGAACATTGGGGAGGGGAGTCTGTCAGGGTGTGGTCTCTGTCAGCCACGTAGGGACCTGGCTGGAAGCGGAGAGGTATCCTGGGTGCCCACTTCACTGAACCCTATGGAGAAGGAGATGCCACCTCAGAAGCCCCTCTCTGGGTGTGGGTGGGGAGGACAGGGTGAAGGGCAGAGGTCACCCAGCACAGGGAACCCCAGCTGGTCTCCCAGCCCCGCTGGCCTCAGTCTTGGGGTGCTGTGTGTTTCAGCACCAGCCAGCCTGGCCTCCACGTTGTGCCAGGGCAAGTGCCTTGACAATAGCTTATGCTCTCCGAGGCCACATTCTGTGGAAGTTGGTGACGACGGCCACGAGGATTCGGCCTTACGCCGCTGCCCCTGGATCCTTCCAGCCTCAGCAGAATTTTGGCATGGGGAGGCCTCTGGCCTGGGCTCAGCGCCCCCACATACCTCCTCTTCAAAGCTTTCCAATGATTCCTGAGGCTCCCATTCAGCACTCGGGCTAGCCTGCCCACCCCCAGAACCCTGCGGGGACACAGCTTCTGCTCCTGGGGAGGCCAGTTCAGGCCCTGGGGCAAATCTGGGAGTCTGAGTTTCTTTCTCTCGGCTCTGGGAGAGCTGGCCGGGATGGACCATGTTGGGAGTTTGGACTTGGGAAGGGGCAGGCAGGGGGTCCTGGTTTCAGGAGAGGGGAGAACAGAGAGGACAGCTAGTAGCTGTTTTTGAGTATATAAACCAGTTTTTTCAGGACCCCACAAGTCCCTGAGTCCTAAGTCACAGGACCTCCCCCCAAGCCCCCGGGAGCCTCTGTTTAAGTCGTCTGTCACAGCCAACAGTCTGCAGCCACCGCTCTTTAGGAATCGTGCCTGCTCCTGGCTTCAGATCCGGGTTCAGGGGTCCTTTTCCTTGATTCACAGGTCAACCTTCAGAAATCCCCGAGGTCTTCTGGCCTCTTCCCAGGGCCGGTCCCCCAATAACTCACTGCTTCTGCGTCTCCCCCTTGTCCTTCCCAGGCACAACTGTGTGTCCTCCATGTGACAACGAGTTGAAGTCGGAGGCCATCATCGAACATCTCTGTGCCAGCGAGTTTGGTAAGAAAGCATTCCTGACTGCCCCCCGGGAGATTGGGGATCCCCTGCCTTCTCCTGTATCCCAGTCAACGGGTCCCCCAGTGCCTCTGGACTTCAGATTCTCTGCAGCCACCGTCCACCCTTTCCTGAGGGCTGCTTTTCTCAGGCAGATGGGACACTACATAGCTGGGTGAGAGCCAGCTGGAGTTTACTGAGCTCAGACCCCCTTCTGTGTGGGGTTCACTGCACAAGTTTGGGGGGCCTTCACTAGGAGGGGAAGGAGGCAAATGGGACAGGTTGAGAGGGGCTGAGGCCAACAGCGAGGCCCATCCCTGCTCCGCAGCAGCTTTGGCTGGGCGGTTTCCGGACTCCCGCTTCACGTCCACCCCTAGGTGTCAGCATGTTCCACCCCGCACGGCACAGGCTGACTGCGGGGGGGGGGTTGGGTTGGGGTGTCCTCCTAGGGAGGGGGAGATTTCAGTGCTTAGGGGCTCCCGGCCAGCCCCCCGGCCGGAGTTTCCCGGCCCCGAACGTTGCCCCCCCCGCGTACTC